CAGAAGAAAGAATTACATATTGAGATAACAATCTAGTTAATGAGGATTTGCAACAGTGTTCCCCAGACTCACAATGAGCCATGAATGGCCTTTCTTCTCTGTCCTTGAGCAGGTATCAAAGAAACTTACTAAGGTAATCAGATTCCTCTGTATCCAAGCTCCCTAAAAATCCTCAGCTATGCTGATGTGAAAGCAGGAAAAATTAAGAAAGTTTTTCTAAAAAATTCCAGTAGATAAAGACCTTAAGCAAGGAAGGCTCAAGAGAGGATTCAAAAGGCAGAATTCACCGACCAAGTATATTAAGCTATTTGGTACCTGTGATTCTAGACCTACAGTTCTAGTTACCTTGTCAGACACAAAAGTTTCCATCAATGTCCTGTATTTCTCATAGACGTGAAAATTTAGTTTTCAGAAGATAGGTGTTTTCTTTTGCAGAAAAATGTGAGGGATAAATGCACTTATTATGAAATACAAGATAATACAGGGAAGATGGAAGTAGTGGTGTATGGACGACTGACCAAGGTCAACTGTGAGGAAGGTGATAAACTTAAGCTCATCTGCTTTGAATTGGCACACACAAGTGAGGATAACTGGCAGCTGAGATCCGTAATTCACAGTTACATCAAGGTGAGAGCATGGGAACATCATTCTTCCAAAGTGTCAAATTATTTTGTTTATAGACTAGACTGCTACTATTACACAGAGAGTCCAGCAGGTAGAAAAAGAACTAAAAAGAAATATGCCTTGCACTTTGGTGTGTAAAACTTTCTTTCCATTATTTTTTTTGAAAGAAGGATAGTTTTAGTCATAGCGAAGAAAGAAAATTCAGATAGACTCTCAAAGGATATGATACCTAGGCTAAATAATAAAGAACGGGTTGATTTTATCAAAATGGGGAGATAATTTAATAAGAATTTGTGTTTGATTAAGGCACATTTGTTTCAAATCCTGGCTCTGTGATTTTCTAGTTGTCTCAAAGCTTAAACACTGGGAACTTTAGGTTCATCATCTCTAAAATGGGAGAAATATTCTCTACCATAGAGGGTTATTAACACAGCTCATAACAGACCTTAATTATTAAGGATGTACCTGAGTAAATCAGAACACAGAGGTACCTGCCTTTAGTGAGATACGTATACTGTTCTACAACAGATAGAGGTGGTTGGGTCTACACAATGAAGTCCATGCACTTTGTCACACTGACAGACACATTCATGTGGGATTCTTGGAACACTAATAAAGGCTAATACTGGAATGCAAACAGTTCAAAACAAAAGCTGACATATTTAGGCGTGCAGACATGCACATGCTCTCAGATCGCTTTAGTTCAGGGGACCATTAGTCAAACTTTCCAAACCTTCCTTGACAGCAATTACGCCAGGAATATCTTTTGTACCCTCCTCCTACCTTTCTGCCCAATAAGAACCTTCCCCTCAGCTCTTGGCATTGGGTACACCAGCTCCTTCCTCTTTACTGTTGTTCCCTGACATCTCCTGCTCTTCCACTTGTGCTCATGCTGAGTAGTAGCGAGTATCTCATTTCATGGCTTCAACCAAGAGGAGGGGAGGCATGACTGAAAGGACAAGAATTCATCAAAGGAGATAGGCGAGAGTGAGAAAAGAGTCCTTTAGAAGAGAATAGAGGAAGAGATGTGGCCCATGGAGCGGAGACAGTATGAGTGAAGGGAGAAATGTATGACCATTGGCCTTTCAACCGGTTTGTCTTTATCTCTTTCTTCTTCAAGGTCATCAAGGTCAGGAAAAACAATAAAAAAACACTCAATCCTGATTCAGATATGGAAACTTCACTAGAGTCCTCCTTCTAAAAACCTGGATGCCATTGATAATGATGTTTATGGAGATAAGATCCAAGTGCAAAAGAAAAAAAATATGTACAGATACCTGGTGGAAATACAACACAATATATATACCATTATATATATACCAGCTATTAATTCTAGAGTATGAATGTTAGGGGTGCTTTTATACGTTTTATTGTTTTCTAAAAGCCATATTTTGCATTTATAACT